ATAAGGTTTTTTTTTTAACATATATTGTTTTTGCAACATTTCAAAGAAAACTAGATATTTTAATATGAGATTTATATTTTTTCAGTATAAAAATACAAACCAATATTAAAAACAATTGTTAGAAAAATACGTGATAAAACCATAAATTTTTAAAAAGGATTTTGAAATTATTTTTGTTGTTTTTTAATATATAATATTATAATATTATAAAAATAATACAATCGGCCTTGCTTAATTACATAGGCAGATCCCATCCTATTTGGACTCAGTTCAGCCCAAAAGAAATTGGGCCAAGGTTGACCACAAAGAGTTTCGCTAACATTGGCACAAAACAACGGTTAGGCCGATGTAGGCCCAACAAATTTTTTTTTCTAAGGGTGATACGATCAAAAGATTAATATTTTTTTTCAAGTTTAATTATGTTTAAGAATTTAATTATATTTAAAAATTATTTTGAATCAAATTAAATATTGGTCTACCAACACCAAGTAAAGGCTTTAAGCATAGTGCATTAGCTCCTCCGGTCCTAATATCCCTTTTTTTTATTTGTATATGTTGGCTTTTTATTTTTTCTTATCCGCTTTCCTTTTTTGTCATCTTTTGTTTTTTAACTCTATTTTTATTTTACTTTGTTTATTGTTTTTTACTACCTTCTAATTAGCCACTTTAATATATCAATTGTTTTTTTAAAAAAAAACAAGAAAACAACTTCTATTACATAATAATATCAAAATCCTTTAATATATCAATTTATGTAAAAAAAACAACATAAGAAAACCAACTTCTATTAGATAATAATATTAAAATCCTAAAACGTAAAACCTTAAATAAAATAAGAAATTTTAATATATATTAAACCCAAACACCGTGTTTTATTTCAGGAAATACATATAGAAGATAGACCAACAAAAAGGATCCCCTATTGAACTAGATTTCGAAAATCTCATGTAAAATTTAAATTTAATCTAAAATGTCACCCCTAGAAAAAGACAAGTTATTTCATCCAAGACATTCTTTTTTTTTTCATATGATTTGTCCATATATTATTCCAATAATTTACATTTTTTTAATTTTTTAATAAATAGTTCAAATTAATTATAAGTGAATAAGGTAGTTTTGTTTATTTATTTAAAAAACATGTGTTGTTTTAAAATAACTCTATATAAGTTTTCATAATTGTAAAAAAGTTTTAATTTGTCAATCATATAAAATAATATTTAACTGCCTAATGTAAAAATTAGGGGCTAAAATTGAATTCTCCTTTGAAATCTAAAAACAAATATTTAGGATAAATATATAACACTTGAGAATAATAATTACTAAAAATTTTTCACTTCACTTGATGTTATCATTAACCAATTAATTTTAAATTATTTCATTTATATGTAACATGAGAATAATTTAACAACATGAATAAAGAATTTATAAAAATATTGCTTTTTTTTATTCTATGAGTTTATTCAAAGTAGAAAAATCTAAACTAAGGCAATAATAAAGAAAAATCCGACAAACAATTATCTAAGAATTTAATTTGTAGATTTCATGAGTTTGGATATAATTTTTAAAGAATTTTAATATTTGATGCTTTTGGATGGCTCGTTTTTAAGCCTTTTTGCAATCTTGATAATCAAAATAATTAATAACTAATAGTTAAGATAGATAAATATAATTTTTAAGAATACAAAATACAAAAGTTTTTAACTTAAGTATATATTATTATGATCTTTTCTCTTATTTTTCAACTATAGATGTTATAAATATAAATTAACACTACATACATGAATATTTAGTAATTAATAAATATTTTATTTTTCAATTTATTTTAATTTTATGTTAATATTATTTCTCAATATTATTCAATCATACATGTTACAAATTTTATTCATGATTTATTTTAATAAGTATTTGGTTTTTCAATATTATCAATATTTTCCCAAAATATTAAAAAAACATAGAAGAAAAACATATAAAAAATTAAATAAGGATTCAACGTATTCAATTTGATGTAATTTAAATATGGTTTAATTTTGAGTTTTTTCTATAATTCTTATTGGGCTTTTAAAAGTATTTTTAAAATTTAGATAGCCAAAATAAAGTATCTATGTAGTATAATATAGTTTAAGAGTGGTTTAAGTGGTTTACTTAATCATATATAGGATTTTATATGGTGTGTGAATAAAAATAAGGATAAATTGGATTAATTAACCTATATTTTAAAATTCATTAATATAAAGTAGATTTTTTAAAAAAAATTTGATAATTTCTCTATTAATATTTCAAGCAATATAATTATTTTTCTTAATTAGATAAGTATGATTTATTTATTAATATTGATAATATATCATAATGTTAGTTTCACGGAAAGGATATGAATATTCACTCACGTATCACTCTTTCTATTTTCTCCTATTTGCTTCCTTTTTTTTTCCAGCTTTGAATTCTTTGTGGTTTATCTTCTTTTTAGTTTTCAAATAAAATAAATTCCAATGAAAGATTATGAGCCAAAGTAAAGGGATGAATTTATGAAAATAATACAAAAGGTATATAAAGAGATGAATTATTTCTAAGGCAAACTTTATTTGAAGAGCAAGATTTGGATTTTAATGTCATCTCCTTATTTTTGCCCCGACAAAAAAAATTTAATCTAAAGGAAAAGAAAGGATGAACCACATGACTCTTAAGTGATACCTATAATGATCTATAATAATCTCTTCAACATCCTTGCCCTCTTTCTCACTTCTATTCATTAATCTCTTCAACATCCATGAACTCAACAAAATTGATCTCATCTTTAGCTATTTTATTCAGTTTTACCTCTATTTTGTTTGGATTTTTTACGCCCTTCATGTGTAGCTTTCCTTCTTCTCTCTTGATTCAAATTCAGACAATCCTAAAAAAAAAATAAGAATATATGAAGAATAAATACAAAAATATAAACAATATAGCTAAACATATTCTACATACAGAAATCAAAATAGAAAAGCAATCAACCTTTTCCTCTTTCATTGTTTAAAACATTCTCTAAAGCTCGCCAATCTAGCTCTAAAGACATAGATAGCAATTCATAAATACAGTTCTGCAACAAAAAAAATTAAATAAAATAAAATGTGGACATTGCTAAAAGAAAATATGAACCTTCAAAAATAAACATAAAACCTATACTTATAAAGAGTCTAAATTTTGATTTTCTCTTAAACGAAATCATATTTTTTATTGAATGATAATTAAGTACTACACCTCTTTTTTCTATTGATATACACTTCTCAATTTAGAAAAATAAAGTGTCATTATTAATTAGAAAAATAAAGATTCTCTTTTCTATTTATTCTAAGTATTTTAAATAGGAATATAATATAAACGAACAGCATGAGAATCCTTTACTAATTAGGAAAATAAAGTGTCATTGTTTATTAGAAAAATAATATTTTTTTTTATTCAGGAGATCTTAAATAAGAATATAACATAAATGACATGGAATAAATCTAGATTGATGTTGTTTAATAGGAAAATAAAGTGCTTGGTGTTGTTTTTAGAGTAATGAATCAGCATATATAAACATCATGAAAGCTGCAATATAAACTCATTCTATAAATATAAGTTGCAATATACTCATTCTCCAATTGAATGTCAAAAGAAACATCATGAAAAGTTAATTCATGATGTTTCTTTTGAAATTTTATGATATAAAAGCTGTTATTAAAGAAGATTTATACATAAAGGTATTTTATTGCTAAGATTTGTCTACCATTAAGCCAAGCCAATGGTATACCGGTTAGAAACAAAAGTTTAAATACACATAATAAAACATCCTTCAAAATGAAAAAATAAATAAGTACATGATTTTCATTAGAACTTTTTTGTTTATTTTTTCATAAACTAATTTTTAATCCTCTATTTTTGTATGTATTTTTTAAAAATATTAGAAAAACAAATGTCTTTATAGTACATTTAGTCAATTTTAATGGTATCATTATTTCCATTATTTTTATTTAATTGTTTTGTGTTAATAAACCATGAAAATCATAAAAAATTCAATAATACAGAAAAAACCTAGAATATGAAAAAATAAAAATAAAAATACATAGATAGTTTGAAATTTGATATATAATTAAGTCTTGCAAGCAAAACTAATTATGAGAAATTTTGAGCCATAATTGAAAAGGAGCTTAATTTGATTTACTTTGTCTAAGATTTAAGTTTAAAAATGATTAATTAAAAGCCTAATGGAATAAGGTAATTTGAAATTTGGAGTCAATTTCATTTAAAAATAAAAATTTAAAGAACCGATGATGAATTTGCAACAAATAAGTAAATCTAGAGGAGTAAATTGATTCAATTAGAGATACAATCTAAAGGAAATATGAAAGTTAAGAATTTCAGGAAACGAGGGACTAAATTAAAATTGAAAATATCAACTAATTCAATTTAGAGTTTAAATTGAAAGAAATCTCAAAATTAAACAATTAAATAAAATTCAAAAGTCAAGAGCTTTAATGAAAAATATTAAAACTAGGGACCAATTGACTTTTTGTTTAAACTCATTTCAGTGCTGCTTGTTTCATTCCAATCATTTCAGCTCAAATAATTCCATTTCAATCCAATTATCTTTAATTGATTCATTTTAATCCAAGTTAATCAAGCAATTAAACTCTAAAATCCAGCAACTTATTTCAAGTTTGCAATTACAATCCCAAGTAAATTAGTCTAGACTTTTGACTCTTTTTTTAATTTTGGTTTGTCCATTTTACTTGTATACATTTTTACTAATCATCCATATATTTTATTTTTTTAAGGTCAAACATTACATTTTTCTTTCTTAAAAAAATAATATTAAACAAACCATATTCAATAATGGTGCAGAAGAATTGTATTATTATTAAACAAATTATAATCAATAATTGAATGAGAAAATGATACAACTGTAAAATAATCAAATTAAATTCTAAAATTATAATTAAACAAAACAAAGGAAAACTAGAACCATCAATTTTTATTCTTAACCACAGCCTTGGATGAATGAAGTGGTGACCAAATTCTGTTGAATTAATGCTGAGAACTCTATCTTTCAGCCATGAAAGCCCAATTTACAACGTTAACAACATTGACTTCAAATTCTGCCGAAGGCATTCAGGCATTTCTTGGCCTTTTAGCATCCCGAACCAAACTATCTTCAATTTTGGACATTTCATTAGAAGTAATCAGAGGATACGTATGTGGAATAGAACTGTGGGAGTCTTTTCTAAGAAACTGCTTGAACCACTTGACTGATTTTTTAGGATATCGTTTCAAATCATTTTTGTAATCAACATAGTAAAGGCCGAACCTCACAGCATAACCACTTCCCCATTCGAAATTGTCCATTAAAGACCAAGCAAAAAATCCCTTAACATCAACACCATGCTCACTGCAATAAATAAATATTGAATCTAAGTTAGATGGACTTGGTAACTTAATAATATAATTGTTGCTATAGATTGAAAAACTTATTAGCAATGATCATTTGTTAATAAATGAAAAGAATTAACTCACTTGATGGATCTCAAAACATTCTTAAGGTGGTCTTTGTAAGCTTTTTCTCTTATG